TTACATTCAGGGGAGTGGGTGCTTATATTGTCCTCTTTCACACATGTACAAGTGTGTATGGATGTGTGAATTGGAAATGTGTTTTTTGCATTTCCCAACTCTCCCTGAGACACCCTCGGAGAGTGTGTTCACAGCCAGGGTCTGCCATTATCAACAGCAACCCTGGATCAATTAGGGTTCAGTGCTCAAGGGAACAACGACAGATTCTACACCTTGTCAGCTCGGGGATTCGAACCCGCTAGGCTATCTGCCACTTGCTACCTGCCGCCACATTCATGTATACTGTACATGTGTTTTCCCTCAAAAACCTGCAAGAGCCTCCTTATGTAACAGCAACAGTAACTGATGGATGAGTCAACCTGCAATGGTCTGTCTCTTGGCCTGAGCCTGTGTATTGGAATGTATTGACTGTGTTGGCTTGTGTGAGTAAGCTAGCGTGAGTAAGCTATGATGTATGATCGGTAGTTGTTACTGTAAAAATGCTCAATTATAGGATAGAATTATCATGGAATGTGATATGATAGGCTTACATTTTTCATAGCAGTTGCATTTTGTTTTCTTGGAGCTTATGATTGAGGTGTCCTTCATACCGATAAGCTAACAGGGGTCAACCCATCCACTCACCTGTGACCTGACCTTGGGTAAGTGGCCATACATATCACTACTTGACCTACAGCATGCATTTTCTAAATCCTGACCTAAAAATTCTTGAACGTCCAACGTATACACACACACACACACACAATCACGTCATGTACTTTATAGATAAACGTGACAACACATCCATTTGGTAACCTCCATACCACAACTAGTTAGTGGAAGGAGTGTTGGTATCACCTTAAGGCCAGTCACTGATAAATAGCTACTGCATAGTTACTAAAGAAACACAAAGCCTAATACACATGTCTGTAGAGTTCAGTTGTTAATATGTGTCTTACATCTCTGTCAACTGACATCATTTTTCTACACCTCAACTGAAGATAAATTAACAGGTTGTTCAGTCAGTACTTTGATGTAATAAGTCCACAGGAAGAGTGTGCTTACAGTAAACTGCAGTCCTGACTCAATTAATGTGGTCCAAAAGGCTTCTTAACAGCTTCTACCCCCAAGCCATACGACTCCTGAACAGCTATTTGCATTGCCCCCCCCCCCCCCCCCCCCCCCCCCCCCTCTTTTTACGCTGCTGCTACTCTCTGTTTATTATCTATGCATAGTCACTTTACCTCTACCCACATGTACATATTACCTCAATTACCTTGACTAACCGGTGCCCCCGCACATTGACTCTGTACCGGTACCCCCTGTATATAGCCTCCCTACTGTTATTTTACTGCTGCTCTTTAATTATTTGTTATTTTTTTACTTAACACTTCTTTTTCTTAAAACTGCATTGTTGGTTAAGGGCTTGTAAGTAAGCATTTCACTGTAAGGTCTACATCTGTTGTATTCGGCGCATGTGACAAATAAAATGTGATTTGATTTGATTTGATTTGATGTCTACAGCTTCATGTTTAAAACAACACATGTGAATGGTGCAAAATGGGGACTATTTACCACATACCATCTTTGGAGGAAGTTTGTGAAGGACCTATGCTCCCCAAAGATTAAAAGGGTATAAGTCAAGTAAGACGTACCATCTTTATTTTGGTGGAAGTTTCCTTTTGATAAGAGAGTGTACCTGTGCCACCCTCCCAATTGTATAGGGGAGAGTGGGGTAAATGCATCGATTTTTAACATTCAGCATCACTACATCAAGGGAAATACAGTATTCTTTCTAACAAAGATATCTACATATATTTCACGATGTTGTGTTTCCCTGGAAATAATCAGAATTAATTTAAACAGAACAGTTTTGAAAACATAGCTTGTCCCAAAAAAAGTGGTCTCTTGGCACAATTTACCCTGGGTATGGGGTAAGTTGAGCGTAGGGACAGGATAAATTGAGACGCCTTGGGGTAAGTGGGTGATGGTGTCCTGTGACAGTGCTGCTGGAAGGTCAAAGTTTAAATCAAGGAATGGGGGTGTGGTATATTGTATATTTTAAATATATGCCTACAATCAGATAAACACTGAACAAAAATATAAACGCAACATGTAAAGTGTTGGTCCCATGTTTCATGAACTGAAATAAAAGATCACAGACATTTTCCATACGCACAAAAATATTATTTCTCAAAAATGTCATGCACAAATTTGCTTACATCCATGTTAGTGAGCATTTCTCATTTGCCAATATTATCCATCCACCTGACAGGTGTGGCATATCAAGAAGCTGATTAAACAGCATGATCATTACACAGGTGCACCTTGTACTGGGGACAGTAAAAGGCCACTCTAAAACGTACAGTTTTGTCACATAACACAATGTCACTTATGTTTCAAGTTTTGAGGGAGCGTGCAATTGTCATGCTGACTGCAGGAATGTCCACCAGAGCTGTTGCCAGAGAACTGAATGTTAATTTCTCTACCATAAGAAACCCATTGTCGTGCCAACGTCATTTTAGAGAATTTGGCAGTACGTCCAACCGGCCTCACAACCGCAGACCACGTGTATGGCATCGTCTGGGCGAGTGGTTTGCTTATGTCAATATTGTGAACAGTTTGCCCCATGGTGGCGGTGGGGTTATGGTATGGGCAGGCATAAGCTACTGTACGAACAATGAACACATTTGCATTTTCTTAATGGCAATTTGAATGCACAGAGATACCATGACGAAATCCTGAGTCCTATTGTCGTGCCATTCATCCACCATCATCACCTCATGTTTCAGTATAATAATGCACAGCCCCATGTTGCAAGGATCTGTACACCATTCCTGGAACCTGAAAATGTCCCAGTTCTTCAATGGCCTGCATACTCACCAGACATGTCACCCATTGGGGATGTTTGGGATGCTCTGGATCAATGTGTACGACAGCGTGTTCCAGTTCCCGCCAATATCCAGCAACTTCGCACAACCATTAAAGAGGAGTGGGACAACATTCCACAGGCCACAATCAACAGCCTGATCAACTCTATGCGAAGGAGATGTGTCGCGCTGCATGACGCAATTGGTGGTCACACCAGATACTGACTGGTTTTCTGATCCACGCTCCTACCTTTAAAAAAACGTTATCTGTGCCCAACATATGCATATCTGTATTCCCAGTCACGTGAAATCCATAGATTAGGGCCTAATTAATTTATTTCAGTTGACCTGATTTCCTTATATGAACTGTAACTCAGTAAAATCTTTGAAATTGTTGCATGTTGCGTTTATATTTTTGTTCAGTATCGATCTCTCTGTTCAATATAACTTACCCTTCCATTTCTTTACTGTTGTTTCGATGTGCCAATACATAAGCAAGTTCTCTGCATTTGAGGCTACTAAGCCCATGAAATTGGTCCACAAGATTCTTGATATGTTTAGCAAGCGCAGACTCCATGTCATCAGATAAGACCTTGTGTGTCATAGCCTCATTCGCAAAGGTACATGTTCGTTTTATGTTTTGTCAATGTGCCTCTTCAGTGTCATTCAGTCCATTTTTTCATCCCTTGCTTCTCCTCGAATTAACTTCTCCCCTTATCTCTGTCTGTTTCTCTTTCTCTTTCTCTCTCTCTCTCTCTCTCTCTCTCTCTCTCTCTCTCTCTCTCTCTCTCTCTCTCTCTCTCTCTCTCTCTCTCTTTATCTCTCTATCTCTCTATCTCCCTCTATCTTGCGCTCTCTGTCAAATGTGTTTTGCGTACACATTTGACAGATTGCCTATGATTTCCCTGCCTTATCACTGTCCTCTGGTGGTAGTCGATTGCCGTAGCAGACTTGTCAAACACCATCAATGTTGGATCACAGCCATAGGATATTTTATTGTATAAGTAAGTGTATTCAATTTATGACATTATATTTTCATATACAGGATATCCCATCCCTTATAATCCCTAATATGATTTACAAATACAATTTAAATCAAATCAAATCAAAATGTATTTGCCACATGCGCCGAATACAACATGTGTAGACATTACAGTGAAATGCTTACTTACAAGCCATTAACCAACAATGCATAAAAATAAAAATAAAAAGATTTAAAAAAGTGTTGAGTAAAAAAATTAAAGCAAATAACTAAAGAGCAGCAGTAAAATAAAATAACAGTAGGGAGGCTATGTACAGGGGGGTTCCGGTGCAGAGTCAATGTGCGGGGGCACACCTGATAAGGCTTATCTGCACACCTGACAAGCCTGGATATGCAGGTCCAAAGGACAGCATAAGCATCCAAATGGCATGGATTATTATTTTATAACTGATACATAGTAGAGGATGTTAATTGTGAATTGTTTCATGTTCCTGAAGGGTCATGGGAATAAACAGTTTGGGATCCACTGCCATAACAGACAGCCTAGCAGGGTTGGGCTCAATTCCATTTAAATTCCAGTCAATTCAGGAAGTAAACTGAATTCCAATTTAAAATCTCTTCAATGCTTTTCAATGAGGAAAATGTCGAATTGGAATTCGACATTTTCCTCATTGAAAAGCATTGAAGAGATTTTAAATTGGAATTCAGTTTACTTTCTGAATTGACTGGAATTCAAATGGAATTGATCCCAACCCTGCTGCCTAGATTGAATGTGCCAATTTTGAGATAAACAATGGGCTTGTTCCCACTAGAGGGTATCATCCTATAAGAGGCAATGGAATGAGTCCACAGTAACACAATAAATAACCTTAAGCATTTCAATAAAATCTGACATACATTTTGTTTATAAACCAATTAAACCAGTCGGCATTTTACAAAATTATTAAAAATGTACAGCACAATTTCAATAAAAGGGACTTTTGTCATTAAGAGTAGAAGGTGAAAATGAAATTAAAGATACTTTTTCAGTCTTTGTAGAGGAGGGATCTGATGTGTAGTTTTAGCAAAGATGGTGGATAAATGAAGATAGTTCACTTAGGCCATTTACCATCAAAAATAAATAGTACGTTCCGGTCTACTTAACTGGGTGTGTCTCCCACAGCCACCAATGCAATAGCAGCTGGGTCTGGTCTACTTACTTCATTGACTTTAATTGAACCAGAAAAAAACAGCGAGTGGGGTGTCTCGCTTCCTCTTCCATCTCCAGTTTTAGTTTGGCTTCAGTGTCTTCCAATATCTTGAAAACACTGGAGAAATGTATAGAAGTTATGTTGAAACCTTGCAGTCTATGAAGCAGTCCTTCACTTTTACATTAGAAAGTGCAATTGGAAGAAAAACTCCTCAAAATAACAGAGATGTCTAGTTTGAGGTTAAATTGTAAAGTGATAGAGAGGTATTTTTATTTAAAGCAACAAAAAAATAACAAAACATACTCAGGTTTTAAAAACGTATGTTAGTTTTAGAACAATTGATTTTAGAACAATTGATTTTTGATGTGACATGTTTATGAATGACACATGACACAGTCTGTCGCTATGGAAACCAGTCAAACTCCAACAGTCGGTAACCATGCCCTCTAGGTCATAAAGCTGTTATGCAAACAACAATGTCTGTTTCACATGTTACCTATTTGCTTTGTACAGATGAGAAACTTAGCAACACCAGTAAAGTACTCATTATGTACTGTCCACTGACTGTACAGTGTAATATGCATGACCTGAAACTCCTCCCTGTTCCTGTGATCTGTTGAATGTTTAACGTCGGAGATGACTAATAGCACCTTATTAAAGGTAGTCTGTTTATGTATCTATGGCCTAGGTATGAAGCAGACAGACAGGGCAGAATCAGGTGTCCCATTTTTCCACTGCTCCATTGATTATGAATGGAAGAGAGAGAATGTGACACTAAGATGCATACTAAGACTCCCAATCAGTCCCACACTTATAGGGAATAAAGAATAGAGATCTCTGGCTGGATTGACACAAATGTCATGTCCCAATGAGAGGCACTGCCTTTCATCTCTGTGTGTGTTACTGAGTGTGATAGAGGGACTGTGTGAAATGGTGTGACCAATGTATGTGTTTGAGGGAAAGTCAAAGAATGTCTTCTGTGTTTGAGTGTGCATGAATTAGTTTGAAAGAGAAATACATTAATTGTGTGTGTGTGTGTGTGTGTGTGTATGTGTATGTGTATGTCTATGTGTGTATGAACTCATTTCCCAGCTTGGAGGTTTTCGTCGCTAGGCTCGTGACCAGGGAACAGATCGGGGGTTTCTGCTAACGTGGGCCTAATCTTCTTCTTCTCTTTAAAACGGCCAGAGTGGGACACTTTAACATGGCGTCCCTTGGTGGCCGTCTTATCCACTATCCTCTCCAGACGGGCGTTGAACTGGCTGTCCTCTGTGGCGCCCTCTACTGGCCCGGGGGCTCCACTGTGGGGTGTGGTATTGCTGCCGTACTCCGCTGGGATCTCGTACAGAACCTTGGGCTCCGACTTCTTCTTACGTAGGAAGGTCAACTTCCACCAGCCAGGCGATGGGTCAGCCATCACACACAGAGAGGAGGGATGGCGGGATGGAAGACCGGAGGGGCTTTGGGTTGATGTAGGGAGAGAAAGAGGGGAGATAAAGCGAGAGAAGTTTAGTCATAAGTTAGTTAATAACTGTAGCTTTATAGCTCCACAATGTTTACAATGAAGATGGATCAGACATGAGTCATGACCTCTCAGAGAGAAGGGTGAGTTACATAAGTCCCCCCACTATTCCTTTCCCATTCCCATTTCAAACTCCTGCCACACCTCTTACCATAAGCCCTAACCACAGTAACCTGACTTCCAACACTGCCCAGCTCAGATCGATCTGTGTCAGATAGATCTGTGTCAGATAGATCTGTGTCAGGGGGGAACGGACTGAGCCCTCCTGAATATTTCAGGGGAACTCAATAGGCACCATATGGTGGAGGGATGACAGGGCACCGCTGGTGATTGGGTTACTCCTAGTGTGTGTTGGCCAAGCTAAATGTGCTGGCTGCTAATATAGCGCCTCCTATATCAGCCAAACCCTTTCTAGGAGGGGATAACACTCACGGGTTGCCCAGTCTCTGGTACTGAGGTGCTGCTCTTTGAATTGCAAGTGTCGTGCTACCATTGTCTCTACTTGTCTGCTACTACTGCCATTATCAATCCCTCTACCATTGTTGCCACCACTGTCACAATAGATATGACTACTACTACTACATCAATGACTACTGCTAATGCAAACCCGAGTTTGGGGTTAGTTCCATTCTGATGCAGTCATTTCTGTGAATTAATTTAATTATTTTTCCAGCTGAAAATCCCCTGGCCTTGGTTCAAAACCAACCACTCATTAGAGTAATTCATTCAACTGGGAGTTTCTGTTTAGTGTTTCACCACAATGGTAGTTTCCCTGTTAGGACTAGAGAGAAAAGTACCCTAGTTTTAGACAGTCAGAAGCTTTTTAAACTCCAGGTAAACCGTTCTGCAAACAAATATCAAAGGGACTTCCAGAAATCATGTGTTCTGTAGCGTGTCAGCGTGGTTTAAGTGCTCCTGCTCGGACTGTAACAGTCGTGGGAGAGTTTGGCTGCTCATTGTGTAATACAGGCAGAGCAGGTTGTATTGTGGGTTTCTACACAAGTAAACCTTCCACATAAGCTAACATATACTGATTTACCAGCACATATACTATATCAATACAAATGGAGATCTAGAACATAAAGACCAGACTACCTTTGTAATGCACAGACAAAGGCGAACACACGCATGCAGGCGGAGGGACACACATATAACAAACACATGTAGTAAACGTAAAAATAGACATGTGCGCACACACACACACACACACATACATACACACACACACACACACACACACACACACACACACACACACACACACACACATACACACATACATACATACACACACACACACACACACACACACACACACACACACACACACACACACACACACACACACACACACACACACACACACACACACACACACACACACATACTGCTCTCGCGGCAAACAGATAAATCCTCGGCTTTGTGCCACTCTCCCCCCAGAAGAAGGGAGTAGGCTGTTACCCGCCGGTCGCCTAGCAACGCTGTGGACATTTCCATACAATATGCTAATGCACTTTTGGTGATCTGTTTGGGTGCTGGTGACTTTTGGCCTGATAGCTAAGGGTTGGGTTTGGGTTTGTAGATGAGCAAACAGAAGGCAAGACAGATTTTTTTCTCTCATGGCAAAACAGCAGATACGCTTGGCCAACATGTTAACGTTTGATTTCCTTTGACTGGTTTCCTGCCAGGGTGAAATGTTCAGAGGCAAAGCTAGTCTGGGCATCTTTTTATCTGCCTCAGCATACAGTGAGGGAAAAAAAGTATTTGATCCCCTGCTGATTTTTTACGTTTGCCCACTGACAAAGACTGATCAGTCTATACTTTTTATGGTAGGTTTATTTGAACAGTGAGAGACAGAATAACAACAGAAAATCCAGAAAAACACGTCAAAAATGTTATAAATTGATTTGCATTTTAATGAGGGAAATAAGTATTTGACCCCTCTGCAAAACATGACTTAGTACTTGGTGGCAAAACCCTTGTTGGCAATCACAGAGGTCAGATGTTTCTTGTAGTTGGCCACCAGATTTGCACACATCTCAGGAGGGATTTTGTTCCACTCCTCTTTGCAGATCTTCTCCAAGTCATTACGGTTTCGAGGCTGACGTTTGGCAACTCGAACCTCCACAGATTTTCTATGGGATTAAGGTTTGGAGACTGGCTAGGCCACTCCAGGACCTTAATGTGCTTCTTCTTGAGCCACTCATTTGTTGCCTTGGCTGTGTGTTTTGGGTCATTGTCATGCTGGAATACCCATCCACGACCCATTTTCAATGCCCTGGCTGAGGGAAGGAGGTTCTCACCCAAGATTTGACAGTACATGGCTGCGTCCATCGTCCCTTTGATATAGTGAAGTTGTCCTGTTCCCTTAGCAGAAAAACACCCCCAAAGCATAATGTTTCCACCTCCATGTTTGACGGTGGGGATGGTGGTCTTGGGGTCATAGGCAGCATTCCTCCTCCTCCAAACACGGCGATTTGAGTTGATGCCAAAGAGCTCGATTTTGGTCTCATCTGACCACAACACTTCCACCCAGTTCTCCTCTGAATCATTCAGATGTTCATTGGCAAACTTCAGACGGGCCTGTATATGTGCTTTCTTGAGCAGGGGGACCTTGAGGGCGCTGCAGGATTTCAGTCCTTCACGGCGTAGTGTGTTACCAATTGTTTTCTTGGTGACTATGGTCCCAGCTGCCTTGAGATCATTGACAAGATCCTCCGGTGTAGTTCTGGGCTGATCATTGCAACTCCACGAGGTGAGATCTTGCATGGAGCCCCAGGCTGAGGGAGATTGACAGTTATTTTGTGTTTCTTCCATTTGCGAATAATCGCACCAACTGTTGTTACCTTCTCACCAAGCTGCTTGGCGATGGTCTTGTAGCCCATTCCAGCCTTGTGTAGGTCTATAATCTTGTCCCTGACATCCTTGGAGAGCTCTTTGGTCTTGGCCATGGTGGAGAGTTTGGAATCTGATTGATTGATTGCTTCTGTGGACAGGTGTCTTTTATACAGGTAACAAGCTGAGATTAGGAGCACTCCCTTTAAGAGTGTGCTCCTAATCTCAGCTCGTTACCTGTATAAAAGACACCTGGGAGCCAGAAATCTTTCTGATTGAGAGGGGGTCAAATACCTATTTCCCTCATTAAAATGCAAATCAATTTATAACATTTTTGACATGTGTTTTTCTGGATTTTTTTGTTGTTATTCTGTCTCTCACTGTTCAAATAAACCGACCATTAAAATTATAGACTGATCATTTCTTTGTCAGTGGGCAAACGTACAAAATCAGCAGGGGATCAAATACTTTTTCCCTCACTATAATAGTCTGTCTAAGATATGTCTGGTCTTAAATATCTGACTTTATGTGGGATAATTTATTGGTCAATTGTTATTCAACCTAACCTATTTGTAATGATACATTGTTTATCTGGGTTTACTAATACATATGTCAGTCACCTGACTTTGTAATGCTGCCCTATTTGTGGTTGGTTATCTTACAGTCAAAGTGCAACCCATTTTATGACCTTTCTAAAGCGGAAGTTCTTGGTTTTCCTTATTAGTTCTATTGCCCATTGGAAAGCCAGTCAGTCAGTGACATTCAACATAGCTCATTCTCAGGTCATCCACCCTGTCTGTCTGTCTGTCTGTCTGTCTGTCTGTCTGTTCGTCATTCCATCCATCTACCTATTGTCCTTTAGCCATCAGTAACCTAGATTTACCATTTCACTCTCTTCTCAGAGCAGAACATTGGTCAAGTAGCTGGACTATGTCCTGGACTAGTTGTTGGCACAGAAAGTTGTCCAGGTAAGCAGAAAAGTTTACTTCCAGTAAAGCTCCAAGTACTGAGTTGGTTTACATGGTGTCATTAAGAATGCCATAAGGAAAGATTACATCTCTAATTCATTTTATGGCTGTGGCTGTGTTGTGTGACTATTTGGAAAGGCCAAAGGCCAAAGGCAATCGCTTCAAGGTAACAATGATAATGTCCATATTTTTCATCCAGAAAATCAATCAAACAAACAAAATCACAACATTATTATTCTTTCTGAAATAAAGTATTTTTTTTAAAGTGCAATTTTACTCCATTACAGGTAGTAAACCTACGCTTAGAGTCCAGATTTCTAGTGAGACCATATCACTGTACACTCTATAGCAATCCTTCCAGCCATGTGGAAAGTCTATGCTATGGTAAACATCCACCTGTGTGTGCAGACTGGGGTTAGCACCACTGATAGGAAAGTCACCCTTGGTGATAACTCGGTCTGCAATAAAGCCTATAGCCCCATTCCCATGCTAACGTTAGACTCTTATCTGGGAATTAACACATCAAATATTTACGAAATGTGGAGCATGGTCAAATATTACATTTACATTTAAGTCATTTAGCAGACGCTCTTATCCAGAGCGACTTACAGGAGCAATTAGGGTTAAGTGCCTTGCTCAAGGGCGCATCGGCAGATTTTTCACCTAGTCGGCTTGGGGATTAGAACCCGCGACCTTTCGGTTACTGGCACAATGCTCTTAACCACTAAGCTACCTGCCGCCCCAAATATGAGGGGAAAGTCCTTTCAAATTGCATCTGTCAAACTATTGCATTAAGCAGGCCAATATGCTGGCCATTAGGGCAGTGGTCATTCCATCTAAGGATATACTATACATGTTTTGGTATATGTTACATTAGTGTTGTGACTAATTAGGGTGTCACGTTGGTATTTTACAGCTAACATAGCTAGTGGGAGCATTGTATTGAATCCATATCAATGTAGACACACGTATACGGTCACCAAGGTACAGTGCAATCAGTTAGGTGCAGTGTGTGCTAGCAGCTTAGTGTTTACTCAGTGTGTGTATGGTCATAAAGCTCAGTGTTCAAAGGTCCTTACTGCTAACTGGTATGAGGGGCCCAAGGAAGCCCATTATGTCTGAAGTACACTTTCAGTCAGTTTAAGAGGTATTCGTCTGAATTAGGTATGTTACCTAAGCACAATATTTCACGTTGTGGAGAAAGATACAAAAAGCTCCTACATTTTGATCATCAATATTTGATCATTACTATCTTGCTATACATCTGACAAAATGTTGTTTAGTGTACATTGTCAAGGTACAGTATTGGGTGTGTTTGTGTGTGTGTGTTTGTGTGTGTGTGTGTGGACGTGTGTGTGGACGTGTTTAACAATACTTGCAGGCACCAGAAGTCCCCACAAGAATAGTAAACAAACAAATATTTGACCAACTGGGGACATTTTGTTGGTTAGAATTAGTGTTAGGGTTAGAATTAGGTTTAGGGTTAGGAGCAAGGGTTAGTTTAAGGGTTAGGGGTTAGGGAAAATAGGATTTTGAATGGGACTGAATGCTGTGTCCCCACAAGGTTAGTTGTACAAGACTGTGTGTGTGTGTGTGTGTGCGTGCATGTCTGTGTTTGCGTGTCTGCTTGTGTATGTATGTGTGTGTGTGCGCGAGTGCGTGTTTGCGTGTGCAATAACCTCACCTGTGT